AAAAATATAGCTTTGACCATGTGACTCTTTGTTGGCAAAGTGATGTCTCTGTCTAGGTTTCTCATAGCTTTTCTCCCAAGGAGCAAGCGTTTCTTAATTTCATGGCTGCAATCACCATCCACAGTGATTTTGGAGCCTGAGAAAATAAAATCTGTCAGTGTTTCCACTTTCCCCCCATCTATTTTGTCATGAAATGATGGGAGCATATATTCTATGTGCCAGCAATTCCCCTGTAAAAATTTATGCTACAAAATTACTAGCAGATGCATGCAAAAATAAGGTTACTCCCTGCAGCATTGCCAATAATACAAAAATATTAGAAACAACTTAAATGTCCTTCAGGAGAATCAGGATTGAATAAATTGTGGTATATCTATAACTCTGGACTACTATAGCACTATGGAAAAAGAATAAAGTAGATCTATATTACTGACAGAATCTCGAATATTTATTTATTTACAATTTTATTTTGTTTATTTTTGGTTGTGCTGGGTCTTCATTGCTATGCGCTAGATTTGTCGTTATCGTGGCGAGTGGGGACAACTCTTCGTTGTGGTGCACGGGCCTATTATTGCAGTGGCTTCTCTTGTTGCAGAGCGTGGGCTCTAGGTGCATGGACTTCAGTAGTTTCAGCTCATGGGCTTTAGCTGCCCTGCAGCATGTGGAATCTTCCCAGACCAGAGATTGAACCCGTGTCCCCAGCATTGCCAGGCAGATTCTTAGCCACTGTACCACCAGAGAAGTCCTCGAATATTTTTTAAAAACTAGTTTATTCCTACATGTTTTTTCAAAATATTTATTTGTTTGACTGTGTGGCATGTGTAATCTTTCGTTGTAGCTCGCAGGCTCTTTGTTTTTTTTTGTTTTTTTTTTTCATTTATTTTTATTAGTTGGAGGCTAATTACTTTACATCATTGCAGTGGTTTTTGTCATACATTGAAATGAATTAGCCATGGATTTACATGTATTCCCCATCCCGGTCCCCCCTCCCACCTCCCTCTCCACCCGATCCCTCTGGGTCTTCCCAGTGCACCAGGCCCGAGCACTTGTCTCATGCACCCAACCTGGGCTGGTGATCTGTTTCACCCTAGATAATATACATGTTTCGATGCTGTTCTCTTGAAACATCCCACCCTCGCCTTCTCCCAGAGTCCACAAGTCTGTTCTATACATCTGAGTCTCTTTTTCTGTTTTCGCAGGCTCTTTGTTACGGCACGTGGGCTTCTCTCTAGCTGCCAAGTGTAGGCTTTAGAGCACAGGCTGAGTAGTTGTGGCACATGGACTTACGTGCCCCAAGACACATGGCATCTTAGTTCCCTGACCCCAGATCAAACCCGCATCTCTTGCATTGGCAACCACTGGAGTACCAGGAAAGTCCCTTGAATATGTTTTTTATTATGAAAAGCAAAATTTACAATACATGTTAGACAGTTCTCCTTGTGCTTCTGAACAATTGGATGTGTAAAAGGACTTAATAGTGTGAAAATTGATAATGTGCTGTAAAAATTTTTTTGATCTTTGCAATAGTTGGTCAGGGAATGTCCATCGATCAGGAGGGAATTGGGAACATCTAGAAGAAGGAAAAAGAGAATGGCAAATTCAGCTTCAGACATTTAAAAATAGGAATTTGTAGGGTGACAACAGTCAACTTCGCAGAGTTCCTATTTATCAATTAAAAATTTGGCCGTGTGGTTAGCCTTGGGAGGAAAGATGTGACCTTAGGGAAAGCCTACCCCAAAGATGGAGTGGAGAGAGAAGGGCGGGGAAGGCAGTGGGAGAGGGAGACAGGAGGGCCCAGTTCCTACCCTTTGAGCCTTGGCTTAGGGATAGCAGCTGGTTAAGGGCGTTAGTGAAGGGAAAGTGAAAGTGTTAGTTGCTCAGTTGTGTCCAACTCTTTGCATCCCTGTTACCCACTAGGCTCCTCTGCCCATGGAATTCTCTAGGTTAGAATACTGGAGTGGGTAGCCATTCCCTTCCCCAGAGTATCTTCCCTACCCAGGGATCTCACCCAGGGCTCCCGCATTGCAGGCAGATTCTTCACCATCGGAGACACCAGTGAAGCCCATAGTGAAGGGATGTTATCATTAATGACAAAGAGGCCATGGCCTCCACCCCCCATTTTCACCTTAGGAAGAGATCGTCTGAGGATGCCACCACAAAACCTGGGCTGTGGTGCCCGGCTTCCTCGATGACCCCCATGGTCACCTTCTCGGCTAGTCCCTGTTGGGACCAGTTCTCCTGGAGTCTGCTATGGACTGAATTGTGTGTCTTCAAAATCCATATGTTAGCACCCTAACCCCCAATGAGACTGTATGTGGATACAGGACTTTGGAGGTGGTCTTGTTGTTTAGTAGCTAAGTCATGTCTGACTCTTTGCAACCCCATGGACTATAGCCCATCAGGTTCCTCTGTCCATGGGATATCCCAGGTGGGAATACTGGAGTGGGTAGCCATTCCCTTCTCCAGGGGATCTTCCCAGACCAGGGATTGAACTCATGTCTCCTGCACTGGCACGAAGATTCTTTACCTCTGAGCTACCAGGTAATCCTTTGGGGGAGGTGATTAAGGTTAAGTAAAGTTATAAGGGTGGGATCCTAACCCCACAGGACTGGTGGCTTTATAGAGTTCTCTCTTAAGAGAGTTTCTCAGTCTCTATCTCTCTGCCATGTGAGGACATAGCAAGGCGGCGGCCATCCAGAAGCCAAGAAGCGAACCCTCACAAGGAACCAAATTGGCCGGCACCTTGACCGTGGTCTCTGCAACTGTGAAAACCAAACTTCTGTTGTTTAAGCCTCTCAGTCCATGGAACTGTATTCTGGAGGCCCAAGCGCACTAAGACAGAGCTCTGCATTTTGGTAGGACTTGTGAGCAAGGCATGACTGTCGTTTGTTCTGGGCTCTTGTCAAGGATGTGTGTGGGGCAAACTTCCTTGGAAAACAGACAGAGAAAGAAATGTCTCCCTCTGTGGCAAAGGGCAGGCATGCTCCTGCCCATTATAGAAGCTGTGGTTTCCCTCAGCTCAGAGCTCTCTCCTCTAATACAGCCCACTGAGCGAGCAGATGACTTCTAGCTCTCTTTATGCTGATCTGTGGGAACTGGGCACTGGATGAACAAAAGTGCTGATTCTCTGGCTATTGCTCTGTTGTGAGTAGTAAACTGTCCTCTGGGTCTGACCCTGGAGCCACACGTCTTCTGTCAGCAACCAAGAAGTGAGGGCATCTAAGAAGCCTAACTTCTTAGCTCGTAAGTAGGGTAAAGATTGCAGACCCCTCACGGTTCCTGACAATCCACCCCTTCACCGAATCAGACCTGACCCTCATAGCCAATAGAATACTGTGGAAGTGATGCTTATTTGAGGCTTGGACTTCAAGACCAGGTCACAGGAGCTGATACAGCTTCTGCCTGGTTCTCCTGGGAGGCTCACCCTTGGATCGTAGGCACCAGGTGATGAGGAAGCTCTAGCTGCCCACGTAGACAACACAGCCCTCACTGGCTTGTTAGAAATGTGAGGGAGCCAACCGGAGGTGGATCCTCAGTCCCAGTCAAATTCTGCAGCCCTCCAGCATCCTACTGGAATCTCAGGAATCAGTCAGCTAGACCTGCCCCATCAAAGCCACCCCTAAATTCCTCACTCAGAAAAATCATGAGCGATATTAAATGATGGCTGTTATTTTCAGTCATTGCATCTGGGGATGGTATTTTATTGCAGCACAGGTAACTAATACACGGGACACAGGCTCCATCCTTTTAGTGGCAGGCTTATCCAGCAGAGGGAGATTTTGAGCTTTCCTGAAATCCCACGTGGTGTGGAAGATGAGGTGAGAGCTGCGGACCTGCCTGAGGGCTTCTGAGCCTCACTTTTCCCATCTGTAAAATGGGGGGATGCTGAGAGTTCTCCCTTCCTAGGGTAGGGGTATCCATGTAAAGCATGCAGCACAGCGTACATGTAGACGTGAAGTTACTGTTAACTTTCGTATATAACAAACTCCATCATGAGCATGCACTGCTTTTAATGATTTTTCTGAGAGGTTAAAAATTCAGAAAAACCCAAAGAGTAGTACAATAATCACTCATAATCACACAGCCTAGCTTAAAAACAAATAGCTTTTTGTTGCATCTGGATAAATCTTTTTTAAAATTTTTATTTATTTATTTGGCTGTGCCGGGTCTCTAGCCTGTGGGATCTAATTCCCTGACCAGGGATTGAACCCAGGCCCCCTGTTTTGGGAATGCGGAGTCTTAGCCACTGGACCACCAGGGCTTGAAATCTTTTTAAAATTTGACAGCAATATATAAATATGTTCTCCCTTTGAGCAACTGACCCAAACATAGGATGAAGCTGGGACCCTCCTGACCACTCCCCAGGTCCCACTCTTCCCTTCCTCTCCTGGACACAGCAGGAGTGTGCTCAGTTCACTTCTGGTGGCCGTTTTTCCCCCAATGTCACTTAAAGATGTCACTGCACAGTTAGCCCCGCCTCCAGTTTCACCTGCAGAGTCTGCCCCATCATCCCACGTCAGACCAACACATGCCAACGGTGTGTCACCTGTGTGGAGCGAGGTTCACTCACTTATGGTGTCATCTGCGCACAGCCAGGCTCAGTGACGCATAAGCCCAGAGTCACCTGCCCACAATCGGCCTCAAACAGCCATTTGCGGTCCCAGACTCCATCCATTGGGGCTTCCCTGGTAGCTCAGATGGTTAAGAATCTGCCCGCAATGAGGGAGACCGGGGTTCAATCTCTGGGTGGAGAAGGTGCGCTGGAGAAGGGAATGGCAACCCACTCCCGCATTCTTGCTGGAGCATTCCATGGGCAGAGGAGCCGGGCGGGCTACAGTCCACGAGGTCGCCATCAGTCGGACAGGACTGAGCGACTACCACACCCCGTCCACTGCGCCACGTGGTATGACATCACACACAATGTCACAGGACACGGGCGGGCCCCGCCCCCCGCGGAGCCCCGCCCGCGGGACTCACTAGGCCCTGGGCGCGGCCACCGGCCAGCCTGGGGCCTGGATCGTCCCCGCTTGGAGGCCTGAACCCAGGCCCTGCCTCCACCAGCAGGACCACCATTCAGGCTCCATCTCAGTGAGCCGAGGAGGCCCGGGCCGCTGCGGAAGCAAGAGTGAATGCAGAGAAAAGGCTTCGTTCTTTGTGGGCAGGTCATTAAAGGGAGCTGGAGCCCCTCTGCCAGCCCCTCCCCTCCCACAAAGGAACAAAACAGCAGCTATTTTTAGATTCGTGTCAAACTCCCTCAGACCCTGGGGTGGGGAGTCCCGTGAGAGAGGCATTTGTGAGGGCTCTAATGAGCGGCAGCAGCCGTACCGGGCTGACTCTCCAGGCAGCTGGCCCCCATCTCCGCCAGGGGAGGAGCCAGCCCCGGATGTTCCTGAGACAAAGGGAGGCCCGAGACAATGAGAACAATGCCCGGGCTCCCGGGTGCCTGCTTGTCGGGGAGCATCCCCCCCCCCAACTTATGCGAGGAGGTCCCACTGGGCACAGCGCGTGGGCATGGGGGCGCTCCTTCCCTGGCTGAACCCAAGGGGCACCTCAAAGGCCCGTTTCCCGGAGGAAGCTACCTGGGACGAGGGGGTGTTGTGCCTGACAGCGCCTGGGCTCTTGGTATTACACAGACGTCATGTGATGGGCAGCTTTGCGGTCATCCAGCTAAGAAAGAATCCCAGCTCTGAACCCTTAGAGCTGTGTGGCCTTGGGCCTCAGTTTCCTCACCTGTAAAATGGGAACGATCATTCTCACCTCTCAGGAGTGTTGCGAGGAGTCTAGGATACCATGAGTAGGTCCTCAGCCGGCTGAGCTGTGAGCTCCTCGCAGAGCAAGGGCCTCATCTTCAACACAGCTAGAGAGCCCAAGACGCTGCCTGGCACACAGTAGGTGATCGGAAAACTTTGTTGAAAAGGTTACTGAACCGTCCTTAGTAGCCTTCCGCCCTACAGGCTTGCCCCAACTTGGGTCACCCTCTTTCCAAGACTTGCTCCCAGGATCCTTCCTCTTGGAAGGAAATTTGCCCTCTAAGACCAAATCTCGGTCGGCGGGTGTCACCTCCCCGGGCTGGGAGCCCCATATTGCAATAACAGCGCCTGGCCACCAGGGGGCGCAGTCTCTTAACGTTTCCACACCAGCTTGCGGACTTCCCACCACCACTCAGGAGTCTGGAGGGCTGGAGATGGTACTGCTCACCGATTGGGGTATCTGTCCACCTACTCAGCCAGAGATCTTGGGGCCATGCTCCTAAAACGCTGTGGAGGAGCAGCATTACAACCAAGACTGTCATTTTGCAATGGTTAGAAAGAAGCTGTGTTCAGGTCTGACCTGCTTCTCCCTCATTGCAATGTCTTGCCCTCACAGATTATGGTGACCCATTGCTGCCCCAGGCTTACTCCACCAGACTCCAGGATTCCCTGTTCTGTACCCTCCCCTCCTCAGCCAGAGAAGCCCAGACCGTCAGAGCCAGAAGGTCCTCAAGTTGATCTGAGTGTCTCCTGCCCCATTTTACAGACGGGAAAACTAAGGTCCACAGAACAGACCTCAGGAAAACACAGTGAGGAGGTAACTGGACCAAGACCCAAACCTGGGTTCTCTTTTTCAACTTGTGCTGTCTCATGCATGAGCTGTTTCACTGTTGTTCTGTTGTTCTTTAATTGCTAAGTCGTGTCCAACTCTCTTGTGACTCTGTAGACTGTAGCCTGCCAGGCTCCTCTGTCCATGGAATTTTCCAGGCAGGAATACTGGAGTGGGTTGCCATTTCCTTCTCCAGGGAATCTTTTCAACCTAGGGATCGAACCCTCGTGTCCTGCATTGGCAGGTGGATTCTTTACCACCGAGCCGCCTGGGAAGCCCCACTGTTGTTCTAGGGGAAGGATAAACGGGCAAAGAAGATTTTCAAGAACTTCTTATTCTGTTCTAGATCTTTGCCTAGATCTATACCTGCATTATTTGGTTGAATCCTCTACCAACCCTTTGAATAGGAGTTATCTCCATTTATGAATGAGGAAATTGAGGTCTGGTGAGGTTGCCTGAAGTTTCACAGCTAAGAAATAGCAGCACTGATATTTGTCCCTGGAGCTGTCTGATTCCCAAATCCACATTGTTTCTGTTCCACTAGGTTGAACTGTATAAAACTGCCATTCCCAGAGGTCAAAGTTTTTAAAATATCTGGTGTTATATGCTTAAGCTTAATACTGTGCCAAAGGGACTCTCTTATCCTAGAGGAAGAGGCCATTAATTGGAATATTCTGGTGGCAGCGGAGGTGGGTGGGTTGGGGGAGATTTCTTTAAGAGTAAAACACCCTGAGGAGATGACTGTTGTGGGAGAGATTATTCCCTGCCCCCCAAAGCACAGATAAGGATCCTGGAATGACTGTTGGCTCTAGAGGCTCAAGTTCACGGACCTCTGACCATAGAGGGGTCCTGCATCTTGGGCAGGAGAAGAATTGGAGGAGGGTCTTGAGGGGAGATGTGGCCTCTCTGGCTATGTCAGGGAGGCCCCTTGGAAGAGAGACAAACCTACATGATATAAATTTAGGATGTCACATAATGCCACAGAATACCATGGCGAGAATGCCATAGAGTGCTGTTGAATGTCAAGGAATGTCGTAAAATGCTCTGGAATGTCAAAGAATGTCACAGGATATCGTGAATTCTTGTAAATGTCATAAATTGTTGTAAACGTCAAAAGATGTCACAGAATGCTGTGGATGGTTGTAAATGTCATCGGATGTCAAGGACCACCTTCCAATGTCATCATAGAATGCTGTAGACGGCTGTAAATGTCATGGAATGACTTAGAACGTCATCCTAGATCTCCTAGACCGTGGTAGGCTGTTACAGAACGTCAGCATCACAGAATGTCATGGAAAGTTCCAGTCCGTTGGAAAAGACTTTGGGTTCCAGGTTTACCTGCTCATTGTGCAGATGGGAAAACTGAAGCCCAGAGAAGAAAAGGGTCTTGTCTAACGAAGCTCACCCAGATGGTCACTGGCAGATGTACATTCAGCATCTGGAGCTCTGGACTCCCAGCCCAAGTGGCCTCCCTTGGCTGACGCTCATGGGGACTAATTAACCCTGTGATGGAAACAGTGGTGCCCAGTGGGTATTCAGCAAAATTCCTAATTCTGGCTGGCACTAGCCCTATGTCAGAATGAGGAATTAACTCCACGTGTGGGGCTTTCTGGTCTGGAAAGTGAAATAATGAGGTCTTTACACTGAAATCGACAACATTCCTCCTCTGCAGCAGAGAGAGCGTGGGTGTGTTGGGGGAGCCCTCAGAGACCTCTCCAGGCCCTGGGCCAGAAAAGGTGCCCCTGGGCTGTCCCGGGAGCCTCTCCTTGACAGCCAGAGACTCAGAGGTGCCCAACTTTGGAGACAACTCTTGACAGAGGCCCTGGGGCCCAGAAGGCTGGGTGTGGGTCTCAGAGATGGGGGAGCAAGGGAGGAACCCTGGAAGGGTCTTTCCAGCCGGATGTCGGGCAGGCAGGAAGGATATCACTTTGGCTGAACTGATTGCTCTGAGGGGAATGGAAGTCAGCAATAGGAATCCAGAGTCCCACTGTCTCGGCAGGTGGATGGGTGAGGAGTCATGGAGGTGGGTGTCAGATGCAAGTGTCTTCAGGAGATGGTCTTCCCTGGTCTCTGCATCTAGCAGGAGACTCCCCCCATGATAAGACATGCTCTGCTTTCCTCCTCCTGTCCCCAGACCGCAAATCTCTCCCTCTCCTCCCCGACTCTCTCCTTCCCTCTTGTAAAGATCCCCACCCGGAAAGAGCTTGTCCCCGCTCCAGGGTCCTGGGCGGGCCCCTTGGTCCTAGAACCGTCCTGCAGTTTCCTTGATTTACACAAATGGGCATAGCCCCGAAGCTCTCTGCCCTGCAAGGGGAAGTGAATTGGACAGACTCCCAGGGATCTGTTCCATCCTCACCAACACAGAGTCCCCTTTCCCGACTGCTAGTCTAGGGACCTTTCTAGGCCCAGAGCCAAGCCAGGGTGTCCCCTGCCCCGAGGGGAGAGTTGGTAGTGGCACTGAGCCAGCTCGCCAGGGAAGGTCACTCTGGCAGACACTGGAGCTGGCCCAGGCTGACCACAGACCCTCTCTAGCTTTGCCGGGGGTGGGCAGAGGGAGGGGATTTTGCCCCTCGGGGCTGGGCCGGCAGTGACTCAGAGCCTTAGGCACCCGCCCTCTTAGCAAAGCCTTCCCTTCTCTCAAAGAGTTCGCTCCCTGCAGCTGTAAAAATAACAAGGTCCCAGCAGAGCCTGGTGGCAGAGCTGAGTTCAGGAAGGGGCACGAAGAATGCGCAGGAGGAGTGGGCGGGAGAGGAGCTCAGGCAGGGAAGGCCGCGGCACTGGGGGCCTGTGGTTGGCCAAGGGCTGTGCTGGACCCCAGGAGGAGTTACGGGGTTGGCCCCGCTCTTGTCCATGTTAATGAAGCTTTCTAGCAGTGCAAGTGTGTGTGTGCAGTCACTTCAGTCATGTCCTATTTTTTTGCAACCCTGTGGACTGTAGCTCATCAGGTTCCTCTGTCCATGGGATTCTCCAGGCGAGAATATTGGAGTGGGTTGCCATTTCCTTCTCCAGGGATCTTCCTGACCCAGGGATTGAACCCAGGTCTCATGCCTTCTGCACTGGCAGGCAGGTTCTTTACCACTAGTTCCACCATGCACATGTGTTTTGGAGACTGTATGTCTGCATGTGAGCACGTGTATCTGTGTGTCCTCACCCTGGTGGGGTTCTGTGTATATATGCACTAATGGGTGTCTGCAGGTCATTCTGCATGTTGGAGTATATGTGTGTAAACCTGGATGTGTTTCCGTGAGGATGGATGTGATTGTGCTCATGTGTATCAATATAAAAATGGTCTTAGCATCAGCTGTCAGAGGATTTAGTTTAAAAACACTGGAGAGCAGTATTGAAGAGCCCTACCCTGGACTCAGGAAGATCTGGGTTCAAATCCTGCTGGTGGTACCTTGGGCAGGTGATTTGGCATCTGTGAATATTAGTTTTCCATCTGTAAAATGGGAACAATACTAGCAGCACCCCCATAGGGTTATCATGAAGTTCAAGGGAGACAGTGAATGTAAAAGGGATCTGTGAACTGTAAAAGGCTGACAGCGTGTGGGAAAAGATAGGGAATATGGCTCATGGGGAGTCCTGAGGAGAAATACAGTAATACTATGCAAATCACATGTGAGAATTGTAGCAGGAATAAGAGTAATAGAAGGAAGTGTCAGGCCCTAATAGGAGGAAGGGCACATGCTGGGGACAATATTTACCAATATGCCAATATCAAGGGCGTTCCCACCCCCTGCCCTCACCCTCCATCCATTGTTTGCCAGCCTGTTCCCAGGTCTTGAGTCCTAAAGAGTCAGAAGAATGGATATAGGAAATAGGAACAGACAGATGGAAGGAGAGACCAGAGGCTGAGATGATGCAAATGATAAAGAACTGGGAGGAAGGGAGAAGAAGGAAAGGAAGGTGAGAGGTGATCATGGAGATTGGATGTGTGAAAGGTGGTAGAACAGGTGCAGGTGTGAGACTGGGGAGAACAGAGGGGTTGGGGAGAAAGTGGTGCTGTGAGTTCTAACCTGGATCCCTTTAATGTTCTTGAAATCCATGTACAGGCTGGAATTCTTAATATCCTATTGGGTGGCTGTATCTTGTGACTTTGAATGTGATTCAGGGCTGAGACTGGACCATTTGGGACCACCAAATGGTCTATAGTCTAATTAGCTGCCCTGGTAGCTCAGATGGTAAAGAATCCACCTGCAATGAAGGAGACCCCGGTTCGATTCCTGGATTGGGAAGATCCGCTGGAGAAGGGGAAAGGCTACCCACTTCAGTATTTTGGCCTGGAGAATTCCACAGACTATATGGTCCATAGGGTCGCAAAGAGAGTAGGACACGACTGAGCGACTTTCACTAATCAGCTATGTCTAAGGAAATTGGTCTGCCTTTGGGTGGGACAGCAGTTTGGAGAGAAGGAGATGATGGTGAGGTAGGCAGATCCCTCCAAAGGCCTCTTCCAACGAAGGGCACTCCTGATCCTTGGTGCCAGAGCATCCTTCCCAGGCAGGTGCTTCTCTGTCCCAACCAGGCAAACAGGTGGAAAGGCTGAAGAGGACCTCAGGGTCCTGGGGATAGGGCAGCTTGGGACTCCCAACCTCCAGCCAGGGCTGGTTTATCTGTATACACATTCTGCCCCAAAGAGTTTGTATTCTAGAAGAAGAGACAGAAACCATAATTCCACAGGACATGATAAGAGTAACAATAAAGGCATTACAAGGCAGAGCGTACGGGAAAGTGTTGGCCGGTTCACCCATGCAGAGAAAAGGAGCCACAGAACTGGTGACCTTTAACTTGAGTCTTGAGGTCTGAGCCAGAGAGAGCCAAGAGGACATGGAGGGGATGTGTTCCAGGGAGGCAGGAACAATCTGTGCAGAGGGAGGGTGTGAGAAGCCTGGTATGTAAGGGAAAAACCGGGAGGATGAAGCGTGGGCTGTGAGAGGGAGACTCCAGAGCAGGAGGGGCTGGGGGAGGAGATGCATGGGGGAAGGAACTTAGAGGCCATGTCAGGGAACACTTGAATTTCAGAGTAAGGGGCGAGGATTGTGTCTTGAAGCAATGAGAAGC